AGGCCTTGGCATGGAGCTCAGGGCAAGGTTCTGCCCCCCGAGGCTGCTGGGCACTGCCCAGGCTGCCCAGGGAATGGTGCCAAGGCTGCCAGAGCTGCAGGAGCTCCCAGGGGTGCTCAGGGTGGGGGTGTTGGGGTGGCTGGGCAGGGACAGGGTTGGATCAATGATCCCTGAGGGTCCCTCCCAGCTCAGGATATTCTGGGATTTATTTCCCAGCATTGCCCAGCTCATTGTCCCATCCTGGCAGCTCTGGGGTTTCTCTTTGCTCTGCTAATCCAGCAAGGTGCTGCTGGCAACCCCCAAACCTGCCTGGTTTGCCTCTCTCCTCCCCTCAGTTCATCAGGAATCAGGAGGAGGCTCAGCCCAGGGATGGCAGAACCCAGGAGGGCCCTGGCACAGGGTGCCCAGAGCAGCTGGGACTGCCCCTGGATCCCTGGCAGTGCCCAAGGCCAGGCTGGGCAGGGCTGGGAGCAGCCTGGGACAGTGGGAGGTGTCCCTGCCATGGCAGCAGTGGCATGAGATGAGCTTCAAAGTCCTTCCCAAGCCAAACCATCCTGTGGTTTCTGAGAAAAATAACCTCTATAGTAATGTGGTTCTGCTTGTTTTGAAAGAAAACAACCAAGTTCTCTGAACGTGCACCAATCCTGTCAAAGAGCAGTAATTCTGTAATAGCTCCTGCCTCAAGTTTGTGGTGGGTTTTTGGATGCTTATAAATTCCTTTAGTGATACAAAACTGTGGGACTGAGTTGTATTTTACACTCTCTCATTTGATAAGACCTGATCATGAGGAGTATAGATTGTGAGGGGAAATGTGTAACAAAAGGTTTGCTATAGGTGCAATAACCTTTCTATTTTCCCACTAGAATTGAGAGGAAAATTGCAACAATATCATTGGAAAGCAAATCTCCACAGAAGACTGTTGAAAATGGTACGTGTGAGGAATGGGAATGGTTTGTGGCAATGGCTGGGCCTGGGATGGGTGAAGCTGACACTCTGTGGGATGTTTCTCTCTGCTGCTGGACCAAATGTCATTCTTAATCACCATTAAGCCAGGTGGCTGCTAATTACAGATTTTGGGTCATTTCTTTCTGTAGTCACAGGCCAGCAAAGATCTGACCAGTTTTTTCACTGACTCAAAGGTGTGAGGAGGGATCTGTAGTACAAATATAGGGGGGAAAAGCAGATCAGTGTCCTCAGACTCTTTCAGAGTGTTGAAATGAATTTTAAGGACTTTCAGATGCCTTCACAAATATTTCTGCCTTTGGTTCAGAAACAGAATTACAGACTGATAGAGGGTGGGTTTTGAAGGATAAAAAATTGGGTGCTGTTCAGAGAAAGGTCTGGATCACCAGGAGCAGCTAGGGGAGCTCAGCCTGGAGAAAAGGAGGCTCAGGGAGTCCTCACTCTCTACAACTCCCTGACAGGAGGGTGCAGCAAAGGGAATGAGGCTCTGCTCCCAGGAAACAAGGGACAGAACAGGATGAAATGGCCTCAAGCTGTGCCAGGAGAGATTTAGATTGGATATTGTGAGATTTTTTTATTATTTTATGTTATTTATGTATATATTATGTTATTTCTAATTTCAATGCCTGACCACCACTAAAAGGCTGGTCAGGCATTGGGAGGGGCCACCCAGGGCAGTGGTGGGGTTCCCATCCCTGGAAGTGTTCAGAATACCAGTGGATGGGGCACTTGGGGACATGGTTTAGTGATGGACATGGTGGTGGGGCTGGTTGATGATTGGACTTGATGATCTTAAGGGACTCTGTGATTCTGTAGACCCCGTTCTCAAGGGGCAGATTGAGTGAATGCTGTTTATTGACATTTCTAAACCTTCCCCCCCATTTAGGTGGCAGCATATCGGGGAGGAAACAAGCACAAAGCAACGAGAACATGAACAGCAGCAAATGGAAATCGACTTTTTCACCGATATCTGACATCAACCTGACCAAAACCACCGACAGCCCCTTGCAGGCCGTGTCAGCTCTGAGCCAGAACTCCCTGTTTGCCTTCAGGCCTCCCTCCGAGGACGGGCTGCCCATGGACACCAAGGTGCCAGGACACCCCAGGAAGAGCCTGGCAGTGCCCTCGGACGGGCTGAGCCCTGGCACAAACCCCCCCAATGGCTTCAGCTACAACGGGGGCCTGTCCTCCGAGCTGGGCCTGCACGGCTTCATGGACGGCGCCGCTCTCCCTCACAAAGCTGGCGATGGCTCCAACTGCTCCCTGGGCTTCCCCTCGCAGCGAGGCAAGGACCTGGGGGTGTCAGACACCAACCTGTTCCTGAACAAGAGGCAGCTGGAAGCTCTGGGCACCAAGGGAGAAGAGCTGAGCCGGCCGGGGGTGAAGGGCAAGGAGCTGGGCGAGCTGAGCGCCCGAGCCGGGGGGGCTGTGGAGAAAAACTCAGTGCAGCACAACGGGAAGGTCGGCAAGGGAAGGGACCGAGACGTGGAGTTTAAAAACGGCCACAACCTTTTCATTTCTGCTGCTGTTTCGTCTGGTGGCCTTCTGAATGGTAAAAGCCTTTCTACTGCTGTTTCCTCAGCAGGGAACCCAGCGCCGTCTGTCCCGACGCACCATCCCTTCCTCAACACTCTGACCACTGGATCACAGTTCCCCCTCGGCCCCATGGCCTTGCAAGCAAACCTCAACTCGGTGACAAATTCCTCAGTATTGCAGTCCTTATTTAATTCAATGCCAGCTGCTGCCAGTCTGGTCCACGTGTCATCAGCTGCAACCAGACTGACTAATTCTCACACTATGGGGAACTTCTCTCCTGGGGTTACAGGTGGAACAGTTGGAGGTAGGCAGAACTCTTTCTCTGGTATAAGACAGGGCCTAAAGGAAAATCTGACACTGCCTCTCCAGGGGTGAAAGCTTTCATTTCTACAGGATGCCAAGCAGATCTGTCCCACATAACCAGTCTCCTCTCTCTCTCTCTTTCTCTCTCTTGGAATTGCTAGGATGATTTCAGTTCCCTACAGTGAAATCTCATGAGCTTTGTCTGCTAGATGAGCTTGTTGTACCACCTTAATGAAACAATACACCCAGACTTTGTGATTGATAATGTTTGCTTGTTCAGATGTTGCTGTGTTGGAACCAACTTAGGTCTGCCTGCAGGTAACAGATTTGACTTGTCCTGGTACCATGTTAAGGATCTCTAACTTGTCAACTTGAGTAAAGGTTGAGTTTAGGCCTTGAATGGATTTAGCATGATCCAGGAGGAGCAGAACATCAGAGGAGCTGGTGTTGGGAGTTCTGTAGCATTCTGGCCCTTGAATGGACATGAAGAGCATTTCTTGGCCAGGAAGGGCAATGCCATATGCACCTTGCACTTCTGGGATTCTGCACAGGCTTGGCTTCTGTGGCCCACACCGGGGACAAGCTGGCAGGACCAGAAGATAGGCTGGACCTGCCATCTCTAAGTGTCTAGGGCAATTTTTCTGACCTGTCCATAATCATTCAGGCACCATGTCGGGAAATCCTAACTCTCACATCTCTCAGCACGTAGATTTGCTGGAATTACACCTCCCCTCTGCTGCCCTGTACGTGGGGGAGCAGGAGGGTGGGGAGGGAAGAGCAGCACTTTGAGTCTTCAGATAAGCAACTCTAAAGATCACTTCTAATCTCATCAAAACTCTGCCTGTGTGGTATAGAAGTGACAGTTCTTGGGTCTGACCATTTTTCCTCGTGGCCTTTAGAGGTTGGCAGTAGGAAAGGTAAGTGGAACCTTTTGTACCTCCTGGCCTGCACCATTACCTCCTCATTGCTTGCTGCCTTCTCACGCTGCACATTTTTGTATGGGGCTGTGACTTATTATAATTTTGCTTTTGTTTGTTTGTTTGTTTTCCTTTTTTTTTGTTTTGTTTTGTTTCTCTTGTCACTTGAGACTGTACAAAGGCCATCTGTTGAAGCTGAGTTTTTCTCTCCTGTTTGCAGGTATTTTTAACCATGCGGTGCCTTCTGCCTCCTCTCCTCATCAGTTTGGAGCCAGTTTCAGCAGCAGTGCTGTCTCTAGCAGCACCGTGCTAAGCTTAAACCCTCTGCAGGCTGTTGCCAGCACCTCATCCTCATCCTTCCCACCCTCTTCCTCTAATTTAGTAACATCTAGTGAGACTAGACCTGCTCAGCACCTCAACAGAGCTCCAGTGCAATCTGTCTTCCACCCCCCTCCACCTCCTCCTAACGTGTCCTTGCCTCCCCCTCCTCCTTTACTCGCTTCTAACTCCGAGCCTGCTCTCCTGCAGAACCTGCCCTCCATCCCTCCTGGCGAGACGTTCCTGCCTTCCTCCTCCTCCTCCTCCTCCTCCTCCTCTTCCTCTGTCCAGTCTAACTCTTCTTTGTCTCTCAAACTGGCTTCTCTCCAGCACAAACCCTCCCGCCCCTCCTTTACCGTGCACCACCCGCCCCTGCCCCGCGTGCTCCCGCAGCCCAACGCCGCTGGCACGGCCGCTATGTGGGTGACCCTTGGCATGCAGCCTCCTTATGCTTCGCACCTTTCGGGGGTTAAGCCACGATAAAGAGCTTGCTTAGCTAACAGTTCTTGTTTTGTAAGGTAAGGCCAGACACAAAACCAGAGGAGTTTGCGGGCGAGATGCTCACTTGACGCTTCTTCCTTTGCAGAGAGAGAGAGAGAGGTCGGGGCCGGGCTCCGTGAAACAGGAACATCTGAAACAGGGAAAATGAGTCCTAAAATGGGGGAGAGAAACCTCTGAGATGGGGAGAGGAATCTCTCAAATGTGGGGATTGAAATCTCTAAAATGGGAATTGAAATCCCTAAAATGTGGGGATTGAAATCTCTAAAATGGGAATTGAAATCTCTAAAATGTGGAGATCGAAATCTCTAAAATGTGGTGATTGAAATCTCTAAAACTTGGGGATTGAAATCTCTAAGATGTGGGGATTGAAATCTCTAAAATGTGGTGATTGAAATCTCTAAGATGTGGGGATCGAAATCTCTAAAATGTGGAGATTGAAATCTCTAAAACTTGGGGATTGAAATCTCTAAGATGTGGGGAGCGAATCAGCTGGTGGCAGAGGATGGAGAAAATGAGCCCTAAAGTGGGGGAGAAAAACCTCTGAAATGGGGAGAGGAATCTCTAAAATGTGAGGATTGAAACCTCTAAAATGGGGATTGAAACCTCTGAAATGGGGATTTGAAATCTCTAAAATGTGAGGATTGAAATCTCTAAAATGTGGAGGTTTGAAATCTCTAAAATGTGAGGATTGGAATCTCTAAAATGTGGGGAGAGGAATCCCTAAAATGTGGGGATTGAAATCTCTGAAATGGGGATTGGAATCTCTAAAATGGGGATTGGAATCTCTAAAATGTGGTGCTTGAAAACTAAAATGTGGGGATTGAAATCTCTGTGAAATGTGAGGATTGAAATCTCTAAAATGTGGGGATTGAAATCTCTGAAATGTCCAGATTGAAATCTCTAAAATGTGGGGATTGAAATCTCTGTGAAATGTCCGGATTGAAATCTCGAAAATGTGGGGATTGAAATCTCTAAAATATGGGGATTGAAATCTCTAAAATAGGGATTGGAATCGCTAAAATGTGAGGATTGAAATCTCTAAAATGTGGGGATTGACATCTCTAAAATGGGGATTGAAATCTCTAAAATGTGGGAAGCGAATCAGAGGATGGTGACAGAGGAAGTGTTGGTGCTCTCTGTTCTGGGAGTCAGGATTTCTCGACAAAAAGTGCTCACAGGGGTAACTCTGCTCTGGCTCAGGGTTATGTTCAGGCTGATGTCTCTTCATAGGAAGAGAAAATGTTCTTTCTGGAGGTAGTCACAGGAGGAAATGTCTATTTTCTATGTGGTTTTATACAGTTTTTGGAAGTGGGTGTTGCCCCATCTTGCACAGCCTGTTTATCCCAAACCAGTCCTTGTCTGTAGCACTGAGGTGCCCAAAGGTGCCTCTGTGTGACTCTGTGTGACAATGTGGTGGTCAGTAAAAACTGCCAGTCAACAACAGCTGCTCTAAATGGTCATAAATAACAATCTCTGGGTTATAAACTTCAGCTTTGCTTGGAGAGCAAATTCCCTGGGCCTGCAGTGCAGTCAGTGTCCCTGCAGCACTGGAAACACGAGCACAGGTAGCAGAGAGGGGCTGGGACTCCCCTGTCACTTCCCTGTGCTGCCCTTGCTGCCAGGGCCAGCAGGAACAGCCCCAGCAGATGTTTTATTTTTGCTCACAAGCCCTGGGAGCACAGGGAATGTGCAGGGGGCAGAGGGCTCCACTCTCCACAAAGGCTGCAGGAGCTCCTGGAGGCCGTGTGCATTTCTCCTGCAGCAGGTACTGACTGAACTGTCTCCAGAATAAACTGTACCACCACAGAGCTGGGTCCTGTGGTCACTGCAAACGCTCTGTGGCAATCCTGCTGTACCAAACTCGTGCTTGCCAAGTGCATCCAAGTGTGCCCAGCCCCAGAGCTGGCTCCCTGCTTTCCTTGTAGGTCTGTGATGTTGTTGCTGTCCACTGGTACCAAAGCTACAAACGTGGTTGAACACACTTTGCTGCTTTATAAAACTCGATTACAACACACCTGAGAGAGCCTCTGTGCATTGTGTGTAGTGTTTTCCTCATCAAATTCCTCCTCAGACACCACAAAACCCCTGGTTAGGCTTTTGGGAGGCACATAAGTATTGCCAGGCCCTTCCCTGAGGAAAGGGAGGCTGAGGAAAGGATTTGTGTGCCAGCAGAGACGTGGGCATGGAAAACCCCCAAAAGGAGAGAGGATGGGGATGGAGGAAGATGGGGATGATGAGGAGGGTCTCTGTTGGAATTACCTGGAACTGAGACCATGCTGGACTAGGATCCATCAGGTGTGACAGTCCCTGTCACTGAAAAATACTGAAAATAAGAGGCAAGGCACAAAAGGGACTGGTAGAAAAATAGCTGGGTGTCAAAGGTGGGTTATGGAGCACAGGAGCAGAACTGATGGGGCCTGAGGTGGTTGTGATCTCAAGCCCTGTGACTTGAAGCCAAAGGATTTGAGCAGTGCCCTTGATTTCAGTGGGAACAGAAATGGGTTCAGATGTGGAACCAGGAATTGGGGGCTGAAATAATCTGCTGTGCTTCTGTGCTGGCACAGCTGGGCCTGCTCACCTGGACAGGAAAAGGCTCCAGGGACACCTCAGAGCCCCTTTTGGGGCCTGAAGGGGCTCCAGGAGAGCTGCAGAGGGACTGGGGACAAGGCCTGCAGGGACAGGACACAGGGAATGGCTCCCACTGCCACAGGGCAGGGCTGGGTGGGAGATTGGGAATCAGGAATTGTGGAATCCATCCCTGGAATGGATTTCCCAGAGCAGCTGGGGCTGCCCCTGGATCCCTGGCAGTGCCCAAGGCCAGGCTGGGCAGAGCTGGGAGCAGCCTGGGACAGTGGGAGGTGTCCCTGCCATGGCAGGGCTGGCACTGGGTGGGCTCTGAGGTCCCTCCCAACCCATGTCCCTCCCCCACAATAATAACAAAAAAAGCAGATTAACTTTTACTCTAAAAAGGTGAAATACTGAGGGGGAAAATACCTTTTTTACTCTTTTCCCCTCACTTGATTTCAGTCCCATAGGACAGAGTTCAACACAGCTTGAAAAACTTCAGCATTTGGATGGCCCACAAATCCCTTGGAACATCCATCCCTTCCTCTAATGGGGATTGGGCCAAGATTTGCTTCATCTGAGGAGGTCTTGGAGCAATGTAGGAATGATTGACACATCTAACAACACAGCAGATTTTTGCCTTTTATTTAGATGAGTCTCTTCCTCTCCTCCTGTTGTGCAGGTAACTAGGATTTCTACCTCAACCCAATGTGACCTATGCAAGGACAACGTGGACCAACTTCACTCGGCTTCCACTGAAAGGTGCTCACCTGGCCTGTGCAGGGGTTTCTACTCTTACTACTGGACAAAATAAAAACCATGAAAAAAAGACCTAAACAACAGAGCAAACATTTACTGTGAATCTGACTAAAAAAAAAAAGAAAAAAAAAAAGGAAAAAAAGGCAAAAAAAAAAAGGCAAAAGAAATGCTTAAAGCTCCAGTTTGTATTGTTGATAGTTTAGATAAAGTATTTATCTTTTTTTTAAAGTGAAAACAATTTTGACTTATTTTATTCCACCTAGATTCATAAATACAAGTTATTATTATTAAATTCTCTGAATACTAAAGGACTGGCACACCAGCAGAGATGTAAAAGAGCCTCCTCGGTGCTATTTTGTCCGTCAGAACTGTGCCTCTGGTTTGAATCCTTGGTGCTGATTTCGGGGGGTTGACCAATGCCAAACCCAGTTTTTAAAGGTCTGCAGATTATTTATTCCCCTGCCTGTGTTCATATCCCAAACTCCTCTTGGTTGGCAGCCAGGGCTGACAGAGGGAGGAATTCTCCCCCAGGGTTTGGTTCACACTGAGCCAGGCCCTTTTTACCTGGGTGGGTTTTAATTGAGTTTGTGACTAACGAGGGCTCTGTGGAGCAGCCTGGGCAGGCACAGCTGGAACAGGAGGAATCCAAGTCCTGCCCCATCCCAGCTCCTTCCCTGGTGCTGCTGGGTCACTGTGAATTTTGGTAGCTGGTCTGGTAACGCTTTTTGGGGCTGGCCTTGGTGTTTGAGCAGGTGCTGGTGCTGTGCCAGCTCTGGGAGGGTTGAACATTGAACATTGTGTTTGTGTCCTGTGCAGGCTGCAGACTTTGCTCAGCTCGTTGTTCTTTCCTTCCAAGCACAACAGGTTTCCTTGGTAGGGATTTGATACTTGACAAGGTGCATTTTGCTTTTGTGTTCCTTTGCTTTTCAGTAGGTTTTTGAATGGTAGTTCACAAAAACACCCCGAGCTGAGCCTGCGCTGTCCCTGTCCCCCTGCGTCGTCACTCGGTGCCGTGTGTGCAGGAAGGGCTCATTTTATAGAGCTGTGCTGAAAACTTCTGAGTTTTTATGCTTTGTTTCCTTTGGTTTTAGTTTGTACAATGCACAATGAACCTGTAAAAAACTTATTTATTCAAGTGCACAAAGTGAGGAGGAGAAGGAGGATCCATTGAAGTAGAAATCAGCCTGGTCTGAGTTCAGGCTGGGCCAAGCACCAATTAAAAATATCACAGTAGAAAGGGGATTGCAACAGCAAAATGACTGGAAAAAAAAATCACATTCAGGCTTTGGAAAACACTTCCCTGGTGCTCAGAGGGGCAGCACTGGCTTTAAATCCCTTCTAATGCTACCTGGTGATCTCCCACTGCAGCATCAGGCACTGCAGGAGCCCCTTGGAGCCCCCAGGGCCACAGAGCTGCTCTGGGTTTGGGGGCAGTGCCCTGTGCCCTCCTGGGCTCTGGATTTGGGGTCAGTGGGGTCCCTGTGCCCTCCTGGGCTCTGGGTTTGGGGTCAGTGGGGTCCCTGTGCCCTCCCGGGCTCTCCTGGTGCCCAGCAGGGTTGGGGGTGCTGGAGGGGCTCAGGGGCTGCAGCAGCTCCTCCCTGTGCAGGTTCAGCTCTGAGCCCCACCCTGGGCACTCTTGGGGAGGTTCAGGACCAGGTGCAGTCCTAGGGAAGGTTTTAGGACCAGGTGCAGTTTTCCTGTGTTTTCCTGGCTGTGTCTTCCATGGCAGCCTCTGGCTCTGGCTTTGCCTCCTCATCCTCTGCCCTGGGAGTTGGGGGCATTTTGGGGTTTCTGCTTTGTGTCCTGCTGAGGGTCTGGCAGCTCGAGGAGAGCCTGGGGAAGGGCAGGAATGCTCAGGGGTGAGAGGAACATCAGTAGCTTCTCGTAGGAGCCAAAGACAGTGAATGTCCTGGAATCCAGGAGCGCAGTAACCCAGGTGTTGTGCAGCTGGGAGTTGGGCAGCTCCAGCTGCTGCCCCAGCACCCAGCACAGTGCTGGGGCCTCTGGAGACTGCAAATGAGTGATTGCTGGAGGGGCAGCAGCCTTAATTAATTTCCTAATTACCTCTCCCCCATGGTTTATATCTCTGGTGAAAGAGAGAGAGGAGGAAATTCGAGTAGAAGCTTTTCAGATCCTTTCCTGCAGAGGGACCAGGATTTGGTGTCCCTTGGAGCTCTTGTGCCTCCCTTCACCTCCAGCCACAGAGATCCAGGAAGAAAACTCAGCTGCCATCCTTGTCCTGGCTTGGGCAGTGCCCAGGGCACTGCCAGGATTGTGCTGGAGGAGGAACCAGCCCAGAGATCCCATGGAAAACAGGCCTGTGTCACCTGTGTCACCTGTGTCACCTGTGTCACCCTCCCTGCGTGCTGAGGAGGGACAGACCCTTTGGGAGTGATGTGCTCTGCATCATCAGAGCTGTCAGAGCTCAGGGTGGTCTGGCCACTGTCACCTCCCAGCTGGACTCTCTGATCTGACAGATCTTTTCCAACCTGAACCCTTCTGTGATTCCAGGAGCCTTTGGAGCCTTGGGTGAGCAGTTTGTCCCTGGCTGTGCCTCGGTGGCACCTCTGTCACCAGGCAGTGCCCAGGGCAGGCTCAGGAGCAGCCTCAGGAATGGCAGCACAGCTGGCACTGAGCCTCTGCCACCCCCGGAGCTTTGGCTCTGTGACTCTCCAGATGTCACCAGGAAGGGGAGCAGAGCCAGGAGTGAATCTTTGGGGTTCCTGCAAAGGACCCAGTCTGCCTGAGCCTCATCCTGCCCTGCCTGTGCAGCTTTGCCTGCTGCCACCCCAGTGCCCTCTGTGCCCATCCTGCCACCCCAGTGCCCTCTGTGCCCCCTCTGGGGGTTCTGGAGCTGCCCAGCCTTGCTGCTGTCCCCAGCCCTGCCCTGGGGCTGCTCCTGGCTGTGATTCCCAGGCTGTGCTTCCAGCTGGGCCCAGCTCAGCACTGAGGGAGCCCAGGGGGCACTTTGGGGTTGGTGCCTCAGCTCTGGCTGAGCTGGGAGATGTTTTTGCCAAGAGATTCCTGGTTTTTGTCTTCCCTCTCCCTGACCTTTCATTGCTTTGCCATCATCTGGGGCAAGCTCAGCTTCAAATCTTGGACTCACAGAACATCCTGAGTTGGAAGAGACCTGGAGGCTCCTGGAATGCAGCTCCTGGCCAGGCTCTCACTGCTCTGTCTGCACTTTGGGAAGAGCTCTCACCTGCCTTGGATCCGTGTGGCCACAGCTGTGACCCCACTGCTGCAACCCTGAGCCAGGAGCTGGAACCTGTCTGCACTGATTGAAGATTTTTGGAGCAATCAAAGCCAAGCAGTTCCAACAAAGAGAATTTCTCCTGCTGGGGCTGGGTCCAGCCCTTGTGGGGCTGTCACAGTTCCCCCTCCTCCAGGCCCCTGCTGCCAGCAAAGGACTCGCCAGGGAGCAAAAACACATCTTGGAGCAAATCTGCTGCCAGAAAATGGAACTTCCTGAGTGCTGTGCTGAGGAAAACCTGTCCCTGCTGCTGCATGTCAGCCTTGAGGAACAAGAATTCTGTGGGCTCTTCCTTTCCTGGGCTTCTGCCACCCCTGTCCCCTGGGAGCCAAAGTGCTGGGAGAGCTCCAGAGGCACTGCACCTAAATTTGGGATTTGCTGCAGATGAGGAATTCAGCAGCAATCCTTCTTCCATCAGCCAGGGCTGTGGGGACGCTCAGCAGCTGGAATTGCTGAGGGAAAGCATTGCTGAGAATGGGGAGCTGGATCTGAGCTGGTTCAGGGCACAGAGGGATTGGAGGTTTCCCTCCAGCCCCTCCAGGCTTGGCACAAATGGGGCTGTTCCCTGCAGGATCAGTCTGGAGCATCTTCACCTCCCTGCAGCTGTGGCTGCAATGGGAGAGAGGAGGGAAAGCAGCTCATCCTCACTGCCCTGGCATCTCCAGCTCCTTCTGGTCACCAGGAATTTGTGTCTCCTCAGCCACTCAGATCAGAAATTCTTGTGCTTCCATCTCTTTACCTTCCTTGCTGTTGGCAGCACTTTATCTTCCAGTGCAGGCTCTGTGCTCCCTCTGCTCCTGGCTGGGCTCTGGGCTCAGCCTGGCACAAGAAATGGGATTTCCCCTCATGGCTGGGATCAAACTGAGCTTGGAGGGTCTGTCTGGGGTCAGCCCCTGAGGTCCAGGCAGGAGGGTGACATCCCTTGCTCATGAATGGATTTACTCATCTCTTCTTGAATGCAGAGATTGCAAATCCCCAGGACTCGTCACTCCTTAGAGTGAAACTCGCCCAGCTCTGGGTCACACTCAGTTCAGCTGAGTCACTTTCTCCTTTCTTTAGTCAAATTTAATCTTTGAGGAGTTCATTTGAGCAATTGCAGCCTGGGAGGGGAGAGGTTTCCAGTCTGATCAGCTCTTCCATCCCACCTGGGAACAGTCCAATTGTTGCTGCAGGGCTGTGTGGGGCTGTGTCCCTGCCCTCACCCTGGGGACAGATTTCCTTCTGAGACGTCTGCTGGGGTCACTTCAGCCTTCTTTGGCTTCTTAAATGACTTTATTGGTACTTTCCAATCTTCCCAAACTGATTCTGTTCAGACACATCTGGGAGGAGATGGGTGAGAGCCTGACCTGCCCCACCTGCAGCTGCTGCACCTTCACCCATCTCTGTGGGTGCCACAGTGAATTCACTGCCCGTGCTCGCTGCTCCCATCTCAGCCCAGGAGCTGCATCCTCCTGCTCTGCTGGGCTGCCCCATCCCCGTCCAGGGCAGGCAGCCCTGGTTGGTTTTTGTTGGGTTTTGTTTTTGCTGGGCTTTGGTTCTGCTGGGGTTGTGTGTTCAGCATCTCCCACCATGGATGTTTGTCCGCTTGGTAGAGAGTCCAGGTGCCAGGGTGGTGACAGGGGGTGGTGACAGGGACAGTCCCAGTCCCAGCAGTGCAGAGCTGCTGGGGACACTCAGCCCTGGCTCAGGGAGGGGACAGGAGGGGACAGTCAGTGCTTCCAGCTCCTCTGGGTCCCTTTAGAGCCCACCTTGGCACTGGGGATCTGTGTCCCCTGTGCCCCCTGTGCCCTCTGTGCCCCCTGTGCCCCGAGGATGCTCTGGCTCCCCTGCCCTGCTCCAGCTCCTCCTGATGGGACTCCAGTGCTGGGAGCTGCTCTCAGGCTGTTGCTGATGGGGATCCCCTCCCTGCCCAGCCCTCCCTGGGCCCTTCCTGCCCCCCTGGGCCCTTCCTGCCTCCCTGCCCAGGGTCCCTGTCCCTGGAGCTGCCGTTCCCAGGGCTGGGGCTCTGTCACTGGTGCTGAGGTGGCTTTGCTGGGTCACATCCTGTGTGACCCCTTTGATTTTGGTGCTGGAATTCTCCCTCTGCCCCAGGCCCTGGAAACCTGAGGGGTCTCTGTGGGTTTTGTCCTGGGTAACTCCACCCTGGAATGATCCCAACTCCTGGGGAAAATTCTGATTTTCTTGTTCTGCCTGAGCCCGAAGCACAGAGGGGATTCAGGGCTGGGAGCAGGACAGGGCCTTGGACAGGGCTGTGAACCCAAAAAGCTTTTGGGGAGCAGAAACTTCACAGTGTTTTTGTGAACTATCTTTGCGGCACTGAGGAAAAATCACAGGAATTGGAGTTTTGGGAGCACAGATGTGCAGTCAGTGTATGAATATTTGAAGTCTTACTGGTTTTAAAGGTTTATTTTCTTTGTTGTTTTTTTTTTTTTTTTGCTCCATTTCCATTTTCCACTCCATTTGCGGGTCAGGTTTTCACTAAAAGCTGTTTCAAAATGTTGTTGTGCCATATTTTATTTATCCTTCTACATTATAAATATATAAATATATATTTAGACTGAATATTGCATTGAAAGATGCTGTTATTGGGAACTTCAGGGTTTAAACCCAAGACAAAATAAAATTGGGAAATAATTCTCCAGTGTTTTTACTGTTTAGGATCCTCTTCCTGAAGAGGTTCCTTGAGTTCTTTGTGGTGTAAAAACAAAATCTCATCTGAAAATTCCAAGTTTGACGATGCTAACCCTGAAGTTCTCAGGTTTGTGATCCTTTGGTTTTCTTGAGGTACATCTGGTTGCTTTTCTGGTGCAGTCAATAATTTTTTTAAAAGGTTTTGTCTCTGGAGTTATTGAGGAAAAGGTGGAATGGGTTGATCCATCCTGCTTGGCTTTTTAACCTATTAATCTTTGAAGTGATCGATTTCCAATTAAAACCCAACTTTTTAGGTCTCTGTTCTACTTAAACTTCTTAGGAGTGAGAGCCTGCCCTCGCTGAGTGGGACTTGGATGGG